AATCTCCTGCCCCCAACCAAGGTTCCCTCTAATTTTTGACAGGCCGTGCGTGCAACAAATTTCTTCTGTGCGAAGCGTTGTGCTTCTGTGCACCTTTCCGTGCGCGCGGTGATTCGCCATGTGCGCGGGGCTTAGGGTCGGTGGGCGTGCGCACACGCCCACAGCTGAGGGGGAACAGTGCCCCCGACAGATGAAGCAGATCCTTACAGCCCCACATAATTCCCCTTTCCCCCCACATTCCTTTGATCTGTCCCCGCCTCAGGGTTAACTCTGTCTCCCCTCTTTGCCCCTACAATTGCCACAGTTTCTTCTGAGGGCCTCCCCTGCCCTCAGGGCTGGCCTTACCATGAGGCAAACTGAGGCAGCCGCCTCAGGTGCCAGGCTGTGGGGCGGGGGCACTAGGACCCAGAGTGTAGAAAATTGTGTCTGCTGCTGGTGCATCTGTATTCTCTCTGCTGGAGATGCACAGAGATGGGGGAGCGCTGGGCTGGAGGGAGGAGGGCACAAGAGACAGAACAGGCAGGCCGGAGAAAAGGGGAGAGGGAATAACAGAAAGCATCAGGGGAGAGAGAGAAGGAGCCTCTTATGGACCTCTCGAGCACGCCCCGGAGCCTGGACTGATTAACCCCAGCTTCTCAGGGAGCTTCCTGTTCCCTACTGCTTCCCTGGACCCACTTGAGGAGAACAGGCCTTCAGCTGAAGTTGTAGGAGCCAGTTAGGCCCTTAAAAAGACTAACCAATTTATTTGAGCATAAGCTTACGTGATGCATCCGATGAAGTGAGCTGCTGCTCACGAAAGCTCATGCTCAAATAAATTGGTTAGTCTCTAAGGTGCCACAAGTACTCCTTTTCTTTCTGCGGATACAGACTAACACGGCTGCTCCTCTGAAACCTGTCATTAGGCCCTTAAGACGCTGATATCTTCCCTCACTCAGGCCCTGCTACCAGCCTGCTTAATTGCCCCCTTCAACTGAGTGTTGAGAGCCACTCTAGCTGGCCCAGAACAGCCGCCATGAGTGAAAGAAGAAAACACCCTTCTGGGGCAGCATTCAGAAAAAGAAAGCACGCAAAGGAAGCTTTTCTATCTAAGCAGGAAGCAGCTCTCCTGAGAGACATAGACACAAATGCTCACGGTGAGCCTTCCGGCCCCACAGAGGATGGGAGTGGTGAGGAGAGGCCTGATCTTCCAGTTAAGTCAGAGTGCGGGTGACCTGGCAGCTACTGCAGCATCCATATCTCCATCTCAAATGGATGTAACCATGCACAGTCCTGAAGAAAAGTGTAGGTCAGAGAAGAGTGGGGTGGAGACGCAAGAAACAGCTGCTGCTGAGTTTAGTTCCTTGAGTCTAGAGGATCCAGGACTGTGGACCCACTTGAGCAGTAGCCTGAGGGACTTCCTTGTACTGCACGGGCCACAGCAAGTGAAAAACGTCATGTTCCCCAAAGACAATGGAAATAGAAGTTTCCATCCAACACATTACTGGCGTGAAATCCCAATGGTGACAAAGTGGAGAGGCCATGGCTTATGTACTCAAAACCCCAGAATGCTCCATACTGTTTTTGTTGCCAACTCTTCCAGTCTAATGTTCCAGCCACACTGGGTTCTACAGGAACAAAGGACTGGAAAAATCAGGCTAGAAATCTAGCATGCCATGAGAAGGCAGCAAATCACCAGAGAGCATTCCACAGGTGGAAAGAGCTCGAGATGAGAGTAAGGTTAAAGGCCACCAGAGATGATCAGCATCAAGAGAAGACCGCATCAGAGTCTCTTTACTGGCAAAATGTTCTGAAAAGGCTCACGGCCATGGTGAGAATGCTCGCGACCCAAACCCTAGCCCTGCATGGCACTGCAGATCAGCTGCATGTGCCAAACAATGGAAACTTCCTTAAAATTGTGGAGCTGAGGGCTGAGTTTGATGCTGTTCTCCAGGAGCATCTAAGAAGAGTCACCACCCAAGAAATGTACACACACCACTACCTTGGAAAAACAATTCAAAATGAGATCATCCAGTTACTGGCAACAGAAGTCAAACAGAAGATTGTGGCAGCTCTGAAGTCAGCAAGATATTCCTCTGTTATTGTGGACTGCACACCTGACATCAGCCATACGGAACAAATGACTTTAATGGTGGGTTTTGTAACAACCACAGAACCTAGTGACAATGTCCCTGCAATGGTGACTGTCAGAGAGCATTTTCTACAATTTATTGATACCAGGAGCTGGTATGACAAATGTGCTTCTTAAAAAGCTGGAAGAGACGGGAATTGCGATAGCTGACAGGAGAGGTCAGGGCTACGATAATGGTGCCAACATGAGAGGAAAGAAGAGAGGAGTGCAGACACGGATCCGAGAGTTAAACCCTCGAGCTTTTTTTGTCCCATGCAGCTCTCATTCATTGACCTTGGTGGTCAGTGATGCAGCATCAGCTTCTAGAGAGGCTGCTGAATTTTTTAATGTAATTCAGAGCATCTGTGTATTTTCTCTGCATCAACTCATGGATGGCAAATTTTGAAGCAACATCTGGGAACATCCTCTCTGACACTGAAACCACTGAGTGTGGAGGCGATAAAGCCTATCAGACACCAAATTGGGAAGATAGATGATGCCATAGTTGCCATTATGGAGGATAAGGCTATGACAGGAACTGTTTGTGGGAGAACAGTGGCAGAGGGAAATGGAATCACCAGAAACATACATAACTTCAAATTTCTGTGTGGCTTACAGTTGTGGCCTGACATACTGTTTGAAATAAATATTGTAAGCAAGAGACTGCAAGGTGCTGACCTTGATATATCTGGAGCAATGGAACAACTGGACAAAGCAAAGTTTTTTGATTACGAGGCACGGGATAATCCCATAAGAGACCCAAACAGCAATTCAAAGTTGAATTCTTTAACCAGGTGCTAGATTGTGCAATCCAGTCAGCTGAAGAACGTTTCATGGAGCTCAAGGAACACAGCAGTATATTTGGGATGTTGTAGGATATTCCAAAATTTGGGTCCCAGGCGAACAGGGCACCCGGGCCCCCTCTCTTCTGTCCTTTGTTCCCACTGGCCAGAACCGGCTGGTCAGGTCACTGGGGCTCTCTCTCCTCTGGCCTTTATCCTCCCACTGGCCAAGACCGGCTGGCTCCCAAGATGGGTTGGGCCTCCAGATCACTGGTTGCTAACGTCCATAATATCCAGGCCATTGTCCAGGGTCCCGGCTGCCAGGTGACATCACACCTGGCCCTCTGGAACCACAATCCCTTTCTCCCACCACCTCATTACACACACAGCACACGGGGAAACTGAGGCACACAAAGTATTCATGGAAAACACAAACAAAATCCCCCACTGCATAAGAGATTGTTTTTAAAATAAAAGTTTTGCGCAAATGTTCCCTTTCCTAAAAACTAATCACAGGATTTTTTGTTTTTTAGAAAGGTTTCACAGAGATCTTGGCTATTTAAAACTAATGATTCCTGGGGTAAAAATTCACTGGCTAGGTATTTTTCACAAAAAATATCCCACATTTTTCAATCCCCCTAACACACACACACACACACACAGAGATACACCCATCCCATGTTTTGAAATATCTTCAGGACACAGAAAAAAACATACATTTGAATTATTTAGATAGATAGATACCAACTGGTAATTAACCCTTTGCCTCCAATATCAGTAAAAGAACGGACCCCAGCCACCATGATCTCCATGTTATCAGCTATGTCAAGTTTCGATTTCGACCTGGCGAATTCGAGGTTTCCCAGAGAATTTCTTTTTTTCCTGCCTCTGAACCTGGTAATTCCCAAGACCCAGGAAAAGCACACGCATCAAATATTGAGCTCAATGCAATGAACAACGATCCCTTGCCCAGCACTGAGATGCGGCCACCTCTGGGGCAGGGTGTGGGGGCTGTTTATACAAGGATCCCTTGGCCAGCGCTGAGATGCAGCCACCTCTGGGATCGGGTGTGGGGACTGTTTATACAGGGCCCCTCAGCCAGCGCTGAGATGTGGCCACCTCTGGGGTGGGGGCTGTTTATATAAAGATCCCTTGCCCGGCTGGCGCTGAGATGCAGCCACCTCCAGGTGGGGCATCTATTTAACAGCAACCGAGGGAAACCTCCCAGGCAGCTAATTAAAAAAAGTCGGAAACCAAATGGGGATTAACCAGAGGCAGAATGTAACCCACCAAACTAGGTCCAATGGATCTCACTCAGCCCAGAACTGGGGCCGACCGGCCGGAGGTGGAGCAAACTCACCGACTGGAAACTTCCTGTTGTGCAAGATCCGCTCAGCGACCAGCTTCCCAGCACAGCCGCCGGTGCCCACACGCAGGGGGGCAGAGCTGACGTGCCACTGGCCTGGGGCAGAGCAGGCCAAGGTCTGGCTGGGGTGGGAGACTCACGAGGGCCTGGCCGTTGGGGCTGGTCCCAATGCCCCTAGGGGGTGCTGTGTTTCTTTTAGTTATAGGTTTCCCCCAAACCCTTGTGTATCTCAACACCGGGCAAGGAGTCCTTGTGTAAACAGCCCCCGAGCCCCACCCCAGAGGCAGCCACATCTCAGCGCTGGGGAGAGGTCCCTGTGTAAACAGCCCCCAGGCCAGATTCAGCTGCATCTCACCTCTTAAGTCGAAGGACGGAGTCTGTGGCGGGCCGTGGAATCCAGCTGCCTCTCCTGATCCAGCCGATGACCCGGGTCCCATCACAAGAGAATCCCCAGACTCAGTGATCCGGGACCTGGGAGGCATTTGAGGAACCAAGAGACAGAAAACAAACATCTGTGCTCAATGGGGGGGGGGGATCCAATCTGCTGGCGTCTCCCCTGCTGAGAGACCCTAGAGAGGAAGGACCCCGGGTTCCATTGTCACCTCCCACCCCCAGCCAGTGCCCCTTGATGGCACTGAGATTTCCAATCACTGGAACTGGCTTGTGCAAGACGTTCTAGGGCCAGGTTCACACACTGACTTCCCCTTCCTGTCTTCAAATCTCACATCTTGCCCCATCCCTCACTCTGACACTCGCACCCGCTCCCTGCCAGGCAGGTCTCCACACGCACCCGGCTCTTTCCATTGTAGTCTGGATTGGCTAGCCGTCCTAACTGGGCATCTGCAGTTCCAGTGCGCTGTTCCCAGCCGCCCCACCCCAGAGGCGGACGCATCTCAGCTCCAGGTGAGTGATTAGTGTCTGCAGCGTGTTCAGTAGGATAAGAGGTGTGAGCTGCTAGCGTTCAAATATTATTGTGGGACTGGAAACAGCAGTAATAAAGGGATAGGGCTGGGATGGGGGGCAGGTAACCAGGACTCCTGGGTTCTATCCCTGGCTCTGGGAGGGGAGTGGGGTCTAATGCTCAGAGGAGGGGGTGCTGGGAGCCAGGACTCCCGGGTTCCATCCACGGCTCTGGGAGGAGAGTGGGATGTAGAGGAGCTCAGAGCCCGGACTCCTGGGTTCTATTTCCAACCCCACAAGCAATATGCAGCCTGCCCCTGTTGCAGGGAAGCCGCGGGCAGCCCCAGCAAGAGGGAGGGGAAGTTGGCAGGATGCTGGTGCTGGGGTTTCTGAGAGAGCAGCTCCCCTGCTTCCTCATCCGCACCCACTTCTGCTTTCATGTTCCTGTGCACGCCGCTTCCCCAGGCTCTGAGTCACAAACCCTGGGGAACCCGGGCTGCAGGGTGGGAGAGCCAGGCGCTGGGCCCTCCTCTGCAAGCCTAGGGGTGCGTGGAACTAGGGTGGGGGAGGGAGCTGGATGCTCTGTGGAGACTGGGGTGCCCCTCAATCTCGACCCGCAGCCCCTTGTTATCCCAGCCCCGGGCTCCCTGCCCCCACAGCTCTGCCAGTGCCCCTCAAGCCCGAGCAGGCTCCTGCCCCAGAGAAGGGGATGGTGGCTGGATCTCTCGGGGACAGCCTCTGCCTGCCCCTCCAGCCCTGGGTAACAGGGCCCATCCCACCCTGCTCTGGCAGAGGATGGTTCATGGGCCATGGGGGAATCCAGGCTGAGACCTGCCCAGCTCACTGCACCAGTGACCGTCCCCAAAGCTGCAGACCTCCCGCTTTGCGCAGAAGGGGAACCTCCCTCTGATTGGCTGCCCTGCCCACTTGCCCCGCCTCCTGAAGAAGGGCAGCCAATCAGAGCTGCTACAGGAGGGAGACAGCTCCTCCCTCAGGAGCTGAGAGGAGTTTTTAGGTGGGGAGGCAAAGGGGGAAGTGGCCTGTACCATTTTCATGGGGGTGCGAGGGGCCATTGCCCCATACCATTTGCACAGAAAGGGAAGGGGGAGGAGGAGAGTGGCTTATACCATTTTAAAAGGAAAGGAGGGGTGAGAGGGAGCGGCCCAAAACACATTAACAGGTGAGGAGGGGGGAAGGGGTGAGTGGCCAATACCATTTTCACAGGTGAGTGGTGGGAGGGCGGGAGTGGCCCAAACTGTTCCCACAAGAGTGTGGCGGGGTGGGGGGAGGGGCCCCTCCCATTCTCCGAAGAGTGGGGGAGGAGAGTCCCAGCTGCAGGAGGAGCAGCGGGGGAGACAGCTGTGGGGCACGGGGGGCAGCATTAGTGCCCCGCCCTGGCTGCAGAGGGGGGGAGCCGTCAGCTCTCTGCACTCTCCCCCCACCCTCCGGGGATGCTTTACGCGCATCCAGGCCACCTGGCTCCACGGGGTCCCTGCAAAAGCAAGCCATTCACCGTGCGGGGGTGACACCAGCACTGTGGTGGGGGGAAGAGCCAACGGGCTGCAGAAAAGAGGGTGTGCAAAGAGAAAGCACAAATCTGTGGATTTTGAAAGCCAGTCTCAGGGTTCTTAGAAAAAATCTCAATTTTTAGCCAATTGCAGGAATTGTAAAGCAAACCTCTGGATTTATTAGCGAATTTCGGGGAGGGGGGTTGTCATGACGTTCATATTAAATCTCGGGATTTATTAGCGAATCCTAGAATCACAGACCCACAGCGTAAGAAGGGACTGCAGGGGTCACCTAGTCCAACCCCTGCCAAGATGCAGGATTTGTTGGGTCTAACCCATCCCAGACAGATGCTGTCCAGCCTCCTCCCGAAACCCTTCAGTGAAGGAGCTTCCACGACCTCCTTGGGTGTCTGGTCCATTGTCTGACTGCTCTCACAGCTGGGGAGTTTTCCCTGAGATTTAATAAAAATCAACTCTGCAGTAGTTTGAACCTGTTGCTCCTTGTCCTGTCCTCTGGGGCCAGAGAAAACAACTTTTCTCCAGCTTCTTTCTGGCAGCCTTTCCAGTATTTGAAAACCACGATCATGTCCCCCTCCCCCAATCTCTTTTCCAAACTAACCACACCCAGTTCCTTCAGGCTGTGCCCCTCGGGCTCGCGTTCCATCCCTTTGATCATCTTTCTCCCTCACCTCTGGATCCTTTCCAGTTTCTCTGCATCTTTTCTACACATTGGTGACCGAAACTGGACACAGTCCTCCAGCTGAGGCCTAGCCAGCGCCGAATAGAGTGGGACTGGCACCTCCCGGGACTGGCATGCTCTGCCTCTGGTAATGCGACCCAAAAATGCATTTTTTTTTGCAACAGCATCACATTGCTGACTCCTGTCGAGGTTGTGATCCACCCCAACTCCCAGCTCCTTCTCAGTGGTGCTGCTGCCCGGCCAGTTCTTCTCCATCCTATATTTGTGCAGTTGTTTTTTTTTTCCCCAAGGGGAGCAACTTCCATTTGTCCGTGACGAATTTCATTGTCTCTTCTACAGCCCAGTTCTCCAATTTATCACGGTCCCTCAGAATTTTAGCTCCATCCTCCAAAGCGTTGGCAACTCCCCCCAGCTTTGTGTCATCTGCAGATGTGATCAGTCTGCTCCCTAGTCTGACATCCAGGTCATTGATAAAGATGTTAAACAACACAGGAACCAGAACAGATCCCTCTGGAGCCCCACATGGGACCTCCCTCCAATCCCATGTCTTTACTCCTTGTTTGTGGTTTTTTAACCAGTTACGTATCCACTTAATGGTAGTTCCACCGAGCCCACATTTCTCCATAAGAATGGCGGTACAGAAGCTGATTTAAATGATAGCTCAAATAACAGTTAGTTGTTCTGCAGTTTCACATTTGAGTTCCTTCAGAAGTCTTCTCCAGCTTACTTATGAGAATGCCACGTGCGACGGTGTCAAAAGCCTTGATGAAGTCCAGGGGTATTATATCCACCACTTTCCCCCGGCCACCAACCAGTTACCTTGTGAAAGAAGGAAATCAAGCTGGTTTGGCAGGATTCGTTCTTGGCAAATCCATGCTGGTGATCACCCCTTCGTCCTTCACAAATTGAAGGTTTTATACATTGCTCTAATAGCGTTCCAGGTGTCGGGGTCAGGCTGACTGGTCTATAATTCCCCGGCTCCTTCTTTTCCCCCTTTTAAAGATGGCCACCCCGTTAGCCCTTTTCCCATCTTCTGTGACCTCTCCTGGCATCCATGCGTCCTGCCCCACTGATTTGAATTCATTCAAATTGGTCAGAACATCTCTGACGGGTTCTTTCCTTCTCCCGGTCTGACGCCCTTCCCCTCTGCCGTCCGTGGTAACTTCGCTGGCCGCCCGCTCGTGTGTTGGTGTTTGTGGGAAGATGGAAGCAGAGCAGGCTCTGAGCAGCGCTGCCTTCCCACCATCTTCTCTCACCAGCTCGGGATTTTCTGGCTGATCTCATGATTCTTAGTGAAAAAATCTAGGTTTTGTCACCAAACTAAGGATTTTTTTAGCCCACGATCTCTCGGGACCATCTGCTGATTTGGGGGGGTCACTGCACTGCCAGCAGCCCCAGATCAGCCCCATGCAGAGCCCAGCAGCACTGATGGTCCCCCAGGCAGATCTGTCCCCCCACAACAGCCTCTGCTCTCTCACTTCCCACCCCCCCACCCCGCCGTCTGTCTCTAGGTCTGTCCCAGCTGGATGCCCCAGCCATGGGCAGAGCCCTGCTTCCACAGCAGGATGCCGGAGAATGGGAGCTCCCGGCTCAGGGCCCCCCCTGGAGAGAAGGGCGTCCTGCCCTCCATATGGCCACGCTGAGGGTCCTGATCCTCGCCCTGCTCTGGAGGGGTAAGTAAGCAGCCCCTGCAGCCCCAGTGCAGGGGGAAGGGCAGAACCCGCGCTACGCAGGGCCAGGCCTGTCCCAGGCCACGGAAGGGAGACTGGCCAGAGGGGGAGGGGAGCCCGATGCCCTCGTGCGGTGCGAGGGGGCACCGAGCGACAGGGAGCGGGCAGGGGGCTCGACGTAGGGAGGGATGGAAACTAAATGGAGTGAGGTTTGGTTGAGGACCCAGGGCTGGGCTCGCAGGGGGCTGCAGGTCGGGAGTGAGGGCACCGGCAGAGGTGTCGGGGGAGCTCAGGGTTGGTCTGTGTTCTCTGTGGCTCCCACTTCGATCCCTCTCCGTCCCCTGCAGGGTCCCTGTCCTTGGAGTCTGGTTATTCCCTGGGGCTGCCGCAGTCGGTGTCGGTGCAGGAGGGTCTCTGCGTTCTCGTCCCCTGCACCTTCGCGTACCCAGCCTCGTACGACACCGACAATCCCCGGGCCCGGCTCTACGGACACTGGTACAAGGAGCCCGCAACTGCGGGCCAGGATCCACCCGTGGCCAGCACTAACCTCAACGAGAGCGTGTCTCAAGAGACCCAGGGCCGGTTCCGGCTGGTGGGGGATCTGGCACGTGGCGACTGCTCCCTGCAAATCAATGACGCCCGATGGATGGATGCAGGGAGATATTTCCTTAGAGTTGAGAAAGGAAACTTTAAATACAGTTACGTCTCCAATGACAATCGCGCTCACCCTACGCTCGCGATCTCTGTTCCAGGTAAGAGCAGCCGCAGTCACCGCTCCTCAGCCCCCCTGAGCCAGTCCCTGGCCTGGGGCCGGATCAGGGCCGGCGCCCCCAGGGGGGAAAGGCCCCGTGTCCCCCAGTGATTCTCTCCCCTCTCCCCGTGTCTCAGGGCTGACGGAGGAGCCAGAGATCCAGATCTCGCCGGCGCGGGGGCTGCCAGGGACGCTGCTGGCCGGGGAGCCGGTGACTGTGACCTGCACGGCCCCCGGGCGCTGCTCCGGGCCCCCTCCCCGAGTCACCTGGACGGGGCCGTTCAGCAACACAGCCCAGGACGACTCAGCCCTGCTGGCGAACGGCATCTGGGCCCGCAGCTCCACGCTGCGCTTCACACCCGGCCTAGGGGACCACGGCAAAGAGCTCGTCTGCACACTCACCTACCACCCACCATGGGGACCTTCCACCCGCAGAACCATCCGGCTACACATCGGCTGTGAGTGACCCCCCTAGCCCCTCCATGCCAGCCCCCAGTTCCCCCTGCTGGGATCCACACCCTCCTGGGCTCCCCAGCTCTGCCCTCCAGGCCCTCCCCCAACTCAGCCCTGTGCTGGGATCCCCACCCCCACCATACACCCTCAGCCAATTCTACTCCAGACCCCTTCCCCCCCACACCTTGCAGCCCCTTCTCTCTTGGGAATTTCACCCCTTCCTGCCACACTTGGCTATGGCTTCACCCTCCCATCTACATGCCCCGTCCTCAGGCCCTTCTCTTCTGGGATCCTCTCTACCCGCGACCTGCCCTACCCCCAGAATCCTTCTATGCTGGGATCCACCCACTATTCCAGTTCCCCCTTGCTGGGATTCCCCCCTCACACCAGACACCCCAGTTCCCCCCGAGATCCACCCGGGCTGTCCCACCACGTCTCCTCCACCCCGTCCCCTTTCTGCCGGGATCGGTGGATGCTCTCTATGGGGCAGAGTGTTAACGGGACCCAGTCGCTGTCTGGCACTAAACACGCTCCGCAGTCAGTGCCCAGAGTCCTCGACCCGCCCTACCCGAGAGCAAACCCCATTAACTGGCCTGCGACCCCCGCGCTGCAGATCCAGGGCAGAAGGAAAATCAGCAGCCGCCTTTGCGAGGTGAAGGACCAAATCGGGCGTCACTGTAAGGACGACCCTTGTTCCCATCAGCCGGAGGGAGATTTAGAAAGAAATTCGCCCCCCGCCCCCCGCCCCGCCCCCTGTCTGAGCTCAGGCCCCAGCCCGACCCCGAACGCCTACACAGCCCTCAGAGGAAACGTCCGCGCTGCAATCAAAGACCAGCAGCCCGAGCCCCGTGAGCCTGTCCCAACGGACCCAGGCTCTGGGCCTCAGCGCCGCGGGCCTTTGAGGGCAGCGTGGACGGACCCTGCCAGGCCTGGCCAGACGGCACCAGTGTCCGGCTCCTCCGGATGCTGCTTTCAGCCACTGTCACGGCGTCCCCGGGCGATGCTCTGGAACGGCTCCCTACGAAGCCAGTCAGGACTCTGGGGGAGTCTCCTCTCTGGGAGCAGCCTGTCTGCAGGACACACAGCTCACCCGGCTCCACCTTCCTGGGTCTGACCTCGGAGCATTCAGCCTCCTCTGCCCCTCCGTGTGCTTCCCACAGCGAGTCCGCCCAGTGCAACCCTCTCTTTCTGCACAGGGTTACAATGTCCTTCTTAAGGAGACGGTGACAGGCCGTCACACCGCTCTTCCCAAGTTGTTGTGGACTCACAGGCCTGTGTGCTCTCAGCTCCCCACGGTTTCCAGGGAGAACCCCTAGTGTGCCAGCCCTTCTCGAGGTCACCGCCTCTTTGCCAGGGTCGAGCTGCAGACTCCTCTGCCCCTGGGACCGCTCGCTGCAATCCCCAGGGGAACCCTGTTACTGCAAAAGTTCTTCTCTCTCGTCACACACTCCCAGGGGTTAACCGCCCCCTGAAACCGTCTCTCTCTGCATCTTCAGCACGGCTGGTCCCCGTCAATCCCCCTTAGTTTTACTGCTCCCCGGTCACTTACTGCTGGAAGCGCCGTCCGCAGGGTGCAGTACATCCCACCGCTGCCACCAGTTGTCACGGAGTCCCCGGGCGATGCTCTGGAACTGCTCCCCATGAAGCCAGTCAGGACTGTGGGGAGTCTCCTCTCTGGGAGCAGCCTGTCTGCAGGACACATAGCTCACCCGGCTCCACCTTCCTGCGTTTGACCTCGGAGCATTCAGCCTCCTCTGCCCCTCCGTGCGCTTCCCACAGCGAGTCCACTCAGGCGGGCTCCTGGGGAAGCCAGAGGGTCCTGCCCCGCAACTCCTCAGTCAGATGTGACTCTCAGCCAGCCAGTAAAACAGAAGGTTTATTAGACGACAGGAACATGGTCTAAAACAGAGCTTGTAGATGCAGAGAACAGGACCCCTCAGCCGGGTCCATTTTGGGGGGCAGTGAGCCAGACAACCCCGTCTGTCCTTCACTCCATGTCCCAGCCAGCCCCAAACTGAAACTCCCTCCAGCCCCCCCTCCTCTGGGCTTTGTCCCTTTCCCAGGCCAGGAGCTCACCGGATTCCTTTGTTCTCCAACCCTTTAGCTCTCACCTTGCAGGAGGGAAGGGCCCAGGCCACCAGTTGCCAGGAAACAGGGTGTCGCCCATTGTCTGTGTCCAGTCCCCTGCACACACCGGCCCTGTAGGGCTATGCAATGACCATACACCCTTATCCCACTGTCACGGAGTCCCTGGGCGATGCTCTGGAACTGCTCCCCATGAAGCCAGTCAGGACTCTGGGGCAGTCGCCTTTCTGTGAGCAGCCTGTCTGCAGGACACGCAGCTCACACAGCTTCCACCTTCCTGGGTCTGACCTCGGAGCATTCAGCATCCTCTGCCCCTCCGTGCGCTTCCCACAGCGAGTCCGCTCAGGCGGGGCTCCTGGGGAAGCCAGAGGGTCCTGCACCCCAACTTCGCAGTCAGACGTGACTCTCAGCCAGCCAGTAAAACAGAAGGTTTATTAGACGACAGGAACATGGTCTAAAACAGAGCTTGCAGGTGCAGAGAACGGGACCCCTCAGCTGGGTCCATTCTGGGGGGCAGTGAGCCAGACAACCACGTCTGCACTTCACTCCATGTCCCAGCCAGCCCCAAACTGAAACTCCCTCCAGCCCCTCCTCCTCTGGGCTTTGTTCCTTTCCCCGGCCAGGTGGTCACCTGATTCCTTTGTTCTCCAACCCTTCAGCTCTCACCTTGCAGGGGGGGAAGGGCCCAGGCCATCAGTTGCCAGGAAACAGGGTGTCGGCCATTCTCTGTGTCCAGACCCCTGCACACACCTGCCCTCTAGGGCTCTGCAATGATCATACACCCTTACCCCACCACCTAGAGACTCAAGAACTGCATAGGGGAAACCGAGGCACCCCCGCAATGCTCGGAGGAAACATCAAGAACAGGCCCACTTCGTCACATCTCTCCCCCCTTCGAGATTGAACTGAGCGGGGTCACTTTACCCGGTGACCTGGGGAAGTTCGAAGCCACCAATGTTCCCATGGATGCCCCAGCATCTCTCCCATTCCTTGGTAGGAGTTACACCAGGCCCTTCCAGTTTCACGCCCTCCCTTAGGTCGGGGGTGGTCAATAGCACTAGCAGGCTGCATGTGGGAAGGTTTCTGCAGCCCATGCCCTTTGGCCACCCCAAAAACCCCAGGGGGTCAAACTGGGATTGGGTTTTCTCCCAGAGCTCCAGTCTGGAGGGCTGCAATTCGGGCTCTCTTGGTTAAGGGCCCCCATCTTGACCTGGGCCACATACTGTTCACTTACAGAACTAGCATGGAGACATCCCTTTCTCCACAACCTTGTCTCCCCAACAAGCTGGCCAAACACAGCCACTTGGTTATAGGACGGTATACCTTTCTTAACAGCTTTCACTCCATCTGAGACCTTCTCAAAGCTCTCCACACTGGATCTTTCAACAGGAAAGTCAGTGGACCCATTCACAACAGAAAATTTCTGGCTGTTAGGAACTGAAACTTTCTTGATTAAATCATTTTCACACCCTTCAGTTGCAGTAAACTGCTTGCAAAGACTCCATGAGGATTCCTTTCCCAAGGGCTCTTCTATGCAACAATTCACCCAGCCCAGAAATTCTGCTCTTACCCTCTTTACCTAGGGCTTGCTCTAGGGGAACACTTTCCTGAGCAACTACAGACTCTTTCTGGGTCTCCCTTACATCCAGAATCACCTCTGGCCCATCAGGCGGATTCCTACACAATCCCCTTTCAGGCAAACTTACAGGCTTCCTAGATAACAGGTCAGAAGCATTCTCCTTCCCTTTGCCACACACAAGTTCAGGAATCTTTTCCTTCTTGCTACAGGTTTCCACACCCTCAGTAGGTAACACAATCACATCACCTTCATGCTCTCCTTGTGCCCTGGCTAGGATCTCACCCTGATTAGACAGAGTTGCTACACCCTTTCCCAACAACACACTAGCAACAGGCAAAATACAAGCACCAGAATTGTCTGGTCTCGGGGATTTTACATAGACCCTAACTGGATGCGACCTAGTTACAGGGCCATTCTCCCGAGCAGGAGACCCTTCCCTTCCTGGGCTTTAGCTGAATCCAGAACCAGCTCTGAGACAACTGCACGACCCTCAACCATCACAGGCTGAAAGGCCCCTTCTGTCTGCTCCACAGACCAAGAAGAGCCGGACACACTTTCTCCTTTACCAGACACACAGGTTGGGATCTCATTCCCTTTGTCCCAGCACACAAGGCTGGTCACAGACAACTGCTTGGAGATCAGGGTAGCTCCCTCCAAGTCAATACCCCTGACAGACAGAGACCCATTTCCTTCACTGTCCCAATTCTCCACCCAGCTAACAGGTAAGGTCCAGGGACTCTCATCTTCCACTCTCCTCGCCTTCCCACCCTGCTGACTGGACACAGCCATCAGCTCACAAGGCTGCCTAGGCTCATCCAAACTTCCCTTACCAAGCACCTTGCCACTCCCCACAGATCCCCTGCCCTGCCTGTGTCTCCCCCCACTCAGCTGGGGTCTCAGCTCCCACTGTGCTCAGCGCTGCCCTTGCTGTCCCAGTGGGGGCAGGCCACTGCTTTCCTCAATGCATCAGAGCCAGCGAGAGTCCCCAGTCTGGTGTGCAAGGGGGCAGGGAGCATCTCTCTGTCCCACCCAGCCCCAGGGGTCTGGTTACAGGCAGGCAGGTAGCCTGAGCCTAGCGGCTCCTCCCTGCTGCCAGCCAGGTCATCTGCATTTTCACTGACCATTCCCTCTCTGCCGATTGGTTCCCTGGATTCAAATTCAAACCCTTGGCAGTTACAGGAACAGGGCCTGGATCCTGTCCCAAAGAGACACAGTCACCCCACAACAGGGTCTCGCAGCTGGTGTCCTGGAGCACCCCAACGACCAGCCAGCCCCACCCCTCCTGGGTCTGCACGGGGATCTGGGCCATAGGCAGGGCGAGGGGCTTCGTCCCTGGGACCCTCACCCAGCTCACACAGCCCCTCAGCATCTGAGGCTGCACCACCCGGGGCCTGACACCAGTTCTCTCTGTCCCAGGATCTCGCCACCCCAGGAATGTCTCCCCATTGACCATCCCCTTCCGCTCCCACTGGGGGTCCGAGGGGCCTGGCCCCAGGAAACTCCACACAGACATATAGGTCAGGAGTGGGAGCGTGTCCACCTCCCCACCCATCTGGCTGATGGAGTCTGTGGCCTTGGGACCCAGCAAGGGAGCTAGACACCGGGGCTTTTCCGCAGGGTCCCCCTGGTTCAAATCGCCAGCCTGCTCAAAGGCAGTGAGGTGGGCATCCACACACCCCCCTCCTTAACTAGGGGCAGCAATTTAGTCTCGAGGTTCCCTGCGGAACTGGCCCCCCCGGGGTCTATCCCCACTCACCCTGGGGAGGTCCCCTAGGCCTCTCCGCTCCCCCACTGCCAGTTCATGCTGCTGCTGCTTCTGCAGCTCTTTCTCGGGCTCTTGCTGTCTCCCACGGTCCTCTTGCTCTCTCGGACTCAGCTCCAATCCCGTCCGTCTCGATCCCCCGATGGGGAACCCGATCGTGAAGACCCTCGTCTGGTTGGGGACAGGAGTCTTGGGGATGCCTGGCTCCCACTCCAGCTGCTCCCAGATCCTGCTATAGCCCCAGTTGGGGTCAGGAATCTGTTCCTTAGAGCGGTCATCCTCCTCCAGCTGCACGATTAACTCTGCTTTGGTGAACTTTCCAAAGTCAACCCTCTCTTTCTGCACAGGGTTACAATGTCCTTCTTAAGGAGACAGTGACAGGCCGTCACTCCGCTCTTCCCAAGTTGTTGTGGACTCACAGGCCCGTGTGTTCTCAGCTCCCCACGGTTTCCAGGGAGAACCCCTAGTGTGCCAGCCCTTCTCAAGGTCACCACCTCTTTGCCAGGGTCGAGCTGCAGACTCCTCCGCCCCTTGGACTGCTCGCTGCAATCCCCAGGGGAACCCTGTTACTGCAAAAGTCCTTCTCTCTCCCCGGGCCAAGCTGCAGGCTCCTCCGCCCCTGAGATTGCTCACTGCAGTCCCCAGGGGGACCCCATTACTGCACAGTCCTTCTCGCTGGTCACACACTCCCAGGGGTTAACCGCCCCCGAAACCGCTCCTCTCTGAGTCTTCAGCACGTCTGGTCCTCGTCAATCCCCCTGCGTGTTACTGCTCCCCAGTCACTTACTGCAGGAAGCGCCGTCCACGGGGTACAGTACATCCCACCGCTGCCACCAGTTGTCACGGAGTCCCTGGGCGATGCTCTGGAACTGCTCCCCATGAAGCCAGTCAGGACTCTGGGGCAGTCGCCTTTCTGTGAGCAGCCTGTCTTCAGGACACGCAGCTCACACAGGTTCCACCTTCCTGGGTCTGACCTCGGAGCATTCAGCATCCTCTGCCCCTCCGTGCGCTTCCCACAGCGAGTCCGCTCAGGCGGGGCTCCTGGGGAAGCCAGAGGGTCCTGCACCCCAACTTCGCAGTCAGACGTGACTCTCAGCCAGCCAGTAAAACAGAAGGTTTATTAGACGACAGGAACATGGTCTAAAACAGAGCTTGCAGGTGCAGAGAACGGGACCCCTCAGCTGGGTCCATTCTGGGGGGCAGTGAGCCAGACAACCACGTCTGCACTTCACTCCATGTCCCAGCCAGCCCCAAACTGAAACTCCCTCCAGCCCCTCCTCCTCTGGGCTTTGTTCCTTTCCCCGGCCAGGTGGTCACCTGATTCCTTTGTTCTCCAACCCTTCAGCTCTCACCTTGCAGGGGGGGGAAGGGCCCAGGCCATCAGTTGCCAGGAAACAGGGTGTCGGCCATTCTCTGTGTCCAGACCCCTGCACACACCTGCCCTCTAGGGCTCTGCAATGATCATACACCCTTACCCCACCACCTAGAGACTCAAGAACTGCATAGGGGAAACCGAGGCACCCCCGCAATGCTCGGAGGAAACATCAAGAACAGGCCCACTTCGTCACACCCACCCCCTAGATACTTAAGAACTGCGTAGGGGAAACTGAGGCACCCCCACACTGTTCAGAGGAAACATTAAGAACAGTCCCACTTCGTCACAGCCGCCCCTCTGGGCACAGCCGGGCTGCAAAATACCCAGGCCTGGCCAGCCAAGCCCGGGGGCCAAAGGAGAGGGCTGGGGAGAGACGAACCGAGGGGGGAAGGCAAAGGACCCACAAGGGGGGTGTCTGATGACCCTGGTGGCTGCGACTGGGGCGGGAGCGGGAGCGGGGTTATTTAGGCCCCTGGCTCTGTCCCGCCCTGGGGAGGACACGTTTGGACAGGACATTGAACACCCGGGCGCCCGGCGACGGTGGCAGCGAGATGGTGACGCTCGCTCCAGTCCCCAGGCCGGAGCAGCCCGGCCCCTCGTTAGTGCCTCCGCCAATTAAGCTAAATTCTGACCCACCGGTTTTGGTCCCTTGGTTCTGGCTCCCCCTGGCCCTAACCCGGCCCCTGGGTTACGTCCGGCGCCTCTTGGGTCGCGCCCAGTCGGGTCTGTCGCTTCCCTTCCCTGCCCACGGGGCTTGTGTCACTTCAGGGACCTTCCCGTCCCCCAGCTGAGCTCACAGCGAGGGTCCCTGTCTAGGCTCAGGGATCACTAGCGACCCCCCGCCCCGGTGCTGTCCAGTCCCCCTGATCTCCCCTCTCTGGTTTGTGTTACAGACCTGCCCGGCCCCCTCAGCATCACTGGGACCCTGACCAGGAACGGACGCCCCGGTGAGAGGCCCGCGCTGCGAGCCCCGGGGATCAGTGAGCGCCTCCGAGTCACGCTCAGCCGGGCCAGGCTGCTCCGTGCCCGGAGGGGAGAGCCCGAGGAACCGCGGGGCTGTGGGGGGCAGTGGTGGGGGGAGCAGGCCTGGTTCCCTCTCTCTAGAGCCCGGGGTGGCGTTAAGGGGGCGCTGGGCAGCGGGCAGGAGATGGGTTAGGGACCGATCGCTGCGACGGAGACCTGCTGCCATGGCAAGGCACCGAGATTGTGCGCCCACCCCAGAGGGGCCAGGTCTCAGCGCCGGGCGAGGGGTCCCTGTATAACCCCCCCCACCCCACCCCAGTGGTGACTCCGCGTCTTGGCTCCTTGGTGGGGAATCTCTGGGGGGACCAAACCCGCCTGCTCCTCTCTTCCAGTGCCAGATGCCTGGGGAGCTGAGGGCGACGTCCTGTCTCTGGAGACCCAGGAGGGCGACTCCCTGAGCCTGGACTGTGAGGCTGGGGGCAGACCCGAGGCCACCCTGAGCTGGGCCAAGGGGAACGAGTCCCTGAGCCCCGGCCAGGGAGGGGCCGGGCGCCTGGAGCTGCCGAATCTCAGCAGAGGGGACGCTGGGGAGTATCGGTGCTGGGCGAAGAATCCCTTTGGGTCGGCCAGCCGGGCCCTGTGTGTGCACGTGCAGTGTAAGGCATTTGGGGGTGCTGGGCGAGACAGAGGGGCCCCAGTGGGGGGTGCTGGGCTGCAGGGGGTGGGGGTGGTCAGGAGGGGGGGCTGTGGTGCAGGGGGTGGGCGGAGGATCCATTGGGGGCGCGGGGCTACAGGGGGGCAGGAGGGCAGTGGGGGGTGCTGGGCAGCGGAGCAGGGGGTCAGTGGGGGGCGCTCTCCAATCTAATACGTTGCCGTGGGTATTTCAGCTCCAGTGGGGAATCTGCAAATCACCGTCTCCAGAGCCAACAGGAGCGACCCCCAGCTGTTCCAAGGTATCGCTAGGGGGCAGGAACTGGGGCATGGGGCCTTCCCCCTCTAGGGGGTGCTGGCCCCGATCCAGCCCCCAGGCAGGGCCTGGCTGGCTCAGGGTGCGAGTGGCTCTGTGTTATTCCTGTTCCCAGATCCCGGCACCCCGGTGGGGAACGGCTCACAACTCACAGCCCGGGAGGGCGACTCCCTGCGGTTCCTCTGCTCCGTCGCCAGCAACCCCCCCGGCTGTGCTGGGCTGGGTGAGGGGGGGCCGAGCCGTCGAGGGCGCCCGCCCCACGGGGGAGAATCAGCTGCAGCTGGAACTGCCCAACGTGACGGCCGAGGACGGGGGGCTGTACGGGTGCTGGGCCCGGAACGAGGAGAGCTCTGCCCAGGGGACGTTCCAGCTGCTCGTCGAGTGTGAGTGGGGATAAGCCCTGGGACGCTGACACTGGAGAATAGCAGTGTTAATCCGTGGGACTCCTCGCCACTGAGTTCTAGCAGGTGTCACAGGTCCCTGGCCCCTTTAAACGGAGACAGAGCCAACCGCCTTCCCCCTCTCTCCCCCGCCATAGTTAATTAGCTGCTTCGAGGGCAGCCCCAAGGGGGGCAGCTGGGGCTTGAACCGGGCCATGAGCACCCAGGCTGAGGTTGGAGAAGCAGGTGGGTTGGTGTGAAGCGCAGCTGGCTGAGGATGGAGCCAGATCAGTTCCCAGGAGCCATCTGAAAAGACGTCCCAGGGCAGAAGAACCCACGGGACTCCCTGGTACTGGATATTAGAAGGTTAACCTATGGGACTCCCTGCCCCTGGGTATTAGTAGGGTTAATCCAGAGGACTCCCTGCCACTGGGTTTCTCTCTCTGACTATTAATTTCTCCCTTTATCTCCTGTGCTCCCCAGACAGCCCCCGGCCGGGGACCGGGCTGAACGCGTCCTGCCAGCGCCAGGGGCCCGGCGTCAGCTGCAGCTGCTCCCTGCGCTCCCACCCCCCGCCCCGGCTTCAGTGGCAGGTGGACGGGGAGCCCCTGGCTGGGAATGGATCGCGGGGGGCCCTGCAGGTCAGCTCGTGGGCCCAGGGGGACGAGGCCGTCAGCACCCTGAGCTGGACGGGGAGCGGGGACAGGGGCCCCCGGATCTTCTGCCTCGGCTCCAACCCCCACGGGACCTACGCCGCCCTGCACTTTGAACTCAGCCCCCCGCAGAGAGGTGAGACACTCGGACTCCTGGGTTCTGTCCCCCACCCTGGAAGAAGGGTGTGGTCGGGGAGTTGGAGACAGGGGAATTGGCAGCCAGGACTCCTGGGTTCTCTCCCAGCCGTGCCCCGTGCTGTGTGTTGTTGCAGGTGCGGAGGAGCCTGGCAAGCTGCTGGGCATCGGGGTGGCCTGTGGGCTGGGGGTCGCCGTCGGCATCTTCCTTCTCGGGCTCTGTGTGATCAAGTGAGTCTGACGCCTCCCGACCTGACCCCCAGCTGCCCCGCCCTGAGATCCCACTGAGATCCCCTGCCATCTCCCCAGGGCTATTCCAGCCCCCCTGTGAGATCCCTGCCACCCCGTCTCCCTGGCCTATCCCAGTCCCCTGCGCTCTAGCCTCCCATAATGGTGCCCCCCTTTTCTCCCTCCCCATGGGGCTATTATACACCCCTGCCCTGGTCTCATGAGTCCGTCCTGATCTGTCTCCCCACAGGCTGCGGGGCCAGGGGCTGGTGGCCCCCAGCGCGAGGCCGGGGAGGCAGCTAATGGGAGCCTGGCCAAGCACAAGGCAGATGATGCCAGCCGGATCTATGGTAACGTCACCACCATCCCCATGGTATGTATCTGGGAGGAGCAGGGGACCAAGCCCACCTGCCCTTCCCTCCCCACCCCGTCTCTGCCCCCCTCCAGTTCTTCTCCTCCCTCCCACCCCCTGCATGAATGCAGGACTATAAGCCAGGCTTTTACCAGGGCACCCAACGCCCCATGCGTGCCCAGTGCAAGAAACGCACCCCTGCCACTAGCTTGGGCCCCCCGACAGTGCCTGCAGGGTGTTCTGTGTCTGTTGCACCTTTCAGAAAATGCAATGAATGCATCAGTATGGGCTGGGCAACCACAAGACGCCTGGGATCAAATCACGCATGCACAAGGTATAAAATGCACACCACCCCAACCTCTGGCTTATGCGTGGCTGGTGCAGGCAATGCAATGAGTGCGTTAATTTAACCGGCGCTGCCCCAAGACGCAGGAGATATCGGTGCATGCATGCACTATGTGTAAAATGCAACTCCCCCCCCCCCCCCGTGCCCCATGCGTCTTGCCAATGCGTGGCCTGTGTGGGTGAGGCAGGGGAGGCATTAACTGAGCTGGTGCCGGCATGGGATCGGCTCACGCATGCAGCGCGTGTGAAACACACCCAATCCCCCCCCGCCTCTGGCTAGTGCACGCCCGAAGCAGGAAATGCATTTGCATGGAGGGTGGGGGAAACCAGGCCGGGGGCAGCCCATGCAATCAGCTCAGCAGGGTGGATGCAAGCCTCTGCCTGGTGTCTCTGCCTTGCTTCTCACCCAGGATCACAACACTCCAGCCGCCGGCCGGACCAAAGGCGTCCAGGACGGGGCTGCAGCAGCTCAGGGCCCGCTAGGCCCCGGGGAGCCGGAGGAGCTGCACTACGCCTCCATCGACTTCTCCAAGCTGCAGCGCAAAGGGGGGGAGCCTCCGGAAGCCCCCGCCACGGAATATTCCGAGATCCGATTGAAATAGCCCCCTCGCGCCATGGGCCCAGGCTGGGCGTCTCCGGCCTGTCCAGTGCGGGGGCAGTCACAACAAGGAGGGAAGGGGTCAGCCCAGGGCTGGACCCTGGACATGGGAAACCTGTGTCCAAATCCCTGCTCCTCCTGCTCCCTGCTCCGGACTCAGAGTGGAGTCAACTAGGCCTTCGAGATGCTGGAGCGCTGCATTGTGGGGAGGTATCCCAGAGTCCTCTGCAGCCGGGTCCCAAAGCCTGCCCCCTCCCAAACCCCACTGCCCCAGGGGGAAAGAGAGCCGCTCACCTCACAGCCATAGAGCATCTCTCTTCTACCCTGCCTGAGCCCCCACCAACTCGTTTCACAGATGGAGAGCATTTTCCATCTCAGGGGCAGCAGCTGGCAAGAGTGGAGGGACGGGCTTGTGTCTAAGGTGCTGGCCTGGTACTCAAGTTTCAGGGGTTCTCGTCCCTGCTCCACTGAAAATGCTGTGGGTGAGGTTGGGCCAGTTGCTGCATCTGTCTGGCCTCAGTTTCCTCACTTTGAAAATTGGGATAATAATGGTGTCCTGGGCTCGTTATGTTCTAAACCCCTCGGGGCAGGGACTGTGTGTCTGGGCAGCCCCTGGCACAATGGGCCCTGATCTCTGTCTAGGTCAATCAGTGCCATGTGATTATAAATTCTTAATAACGATGCTCTATTCAAGGTAACATGTTCACTCCAAAGCCAAAAGCATCTGACTGTAAAATTCCCGCTTTACAAGCTGTTCCTTGAAATAGATTTTCATGTGTCTTTTTTGTCCCTGCTACTTTTTTAACAAAGGGCCAATAACAACTATGACTTAATTGTGTGCAGTGAAGAATCAGTTTTCACTTCTGCCTTTCCCCTGGGAAGGCCCCGATCGCGGTTGGTTTCTGGGCAGGTGTCAAGGTTCCTTCCCCACTCTGAACTCTAGGGTACAGATGTGGGGACCTGCATGAAAAACTCCTAAGCTTATTTTTACCAGCTCAGGTTAAAATTTCCCCAAGGTACAAACTATTTTACCTTTTGCCCTTGGACTTTCGCTGCCACCACCAAACGTCTAACAGGGATATAATTGGGAAAGAGCCCATTTGGAAATGTCTTTCCCCGCAAAATCCTCCCAAATCTTACACCCCTTTTCTTGGGGAAGGTTTGATAAAAATCCTCACCAATTTGCATAGGTGAACACAGACCAAACCCTTGGATCTTAAGAACAATGAAAAACAATCAGGTTCTTAAAAAGAATTTTAATAGAAGAAAAAGTAAAAAGAATTACCTCTGTAAAATCAGGATGGTAAATACCTTACAGGGTAATCAGATTCAAAACAGAGAGAATCCCTCTAGGCAAAACCTTAAATTACAAAAAGACACAAAAACAGGAATATCCATTCCATTCAGCACAGCTTATTTTATCAGCTATTTAAAGGAATCAGAATCGAACGCATCTCGAGCTAGATTACTGACTAAGTTCTCAGACTCCATTCCTGTTCTTTCCCCGGCAAAAGCATCCCACAGACCGAGAGAGAGAGGCTTTGTTTCTCCCTCCCCCCAGCTTTTGAAAGTATCTTGTCTCCTCATTGGTCATTGTGGTCAGGGGCCAGCGAGGTTACCCTAGCTTCTTAACCCTTTACAGGTGAGAGGATTTTTCCTCTGGCCAGGAGGGATTTTAAAGGTGTTTACCCTTCCCTTTATATTTATGACAGCAGGGCTGGGCATAACACAGCCCTGATCTCAGCTAGGACAGGGACTAGCTCTCGCTGTATGTGTGGGCAGTGCCTGGCACACGGGGCCCTGATCTCAGTTGGGCAGGGCCCGTCTCTCGCTGTGTCTGGACAGCACCCAGCTGTCAGGGACTCCCAGGGCTCACTCTCGCTCGGCTCTATATGGCCCTTGGGAGTGACCCTTCTTCGGCGTGACAGCCTCCTGGGAAGGTTCACTCTCTCTCCGGGGCTAGGCCCTCTGGCCCCAGCACCTCCTGGGACCACACCTCTGAGCTGGCCTGTCTCTGCCTTGGGCCCCCTTAGGGAGTCCCCTCACTCTGCACCCCAGGGTCCTCCACCCCCAGAGGGAGCAACGCCCCCCCCCGATTGCTACCCTGTGTGACGAAGCAGGACTGTTCTTAATGTTTCCTCTGAATATTGTGGGGGTGCCTCAGTTTCCCCTATGCAGTTCTTAAGTATCTAGGGGGTGGGATAAGGGTGTATGATCGTTGCAGAGCCCTAGAGGGCAGGTGTGTGCAGGGGTCTGGACACAGAGAATGGCCGACACCCTGTTTCCTGGCAACTGATGGCCTGGCCCATCCCCCCTGCCAGGTGAGAGCTAAAGGGCTGGAGAACAAAGGAATCCGGTGACCTCCTGGCCCGGGAAAGGGACAAAGCCCAAAGGAAGAGGGGCTGGAGGGGGTTTCAGTTTGGGGCTGGCTGGAGACATGGAGTGAAGGGCAGACGTGGTTGTCTGGCTCACTGCCCCCCAAAATGGACCCGGCTGAGGGGTCCTGTTCTCTGCACCTACAAGCTCTGTTTTAGACCATGTTCCTGTCATCTAATAAACTTTCTGTTTTACTGGCTGGCTGAGAGTCACATCTCACTGCGAAGTTCGGGTTCAGGACCCTCTGGCTTCCCCAGGACCCCGCCTGGGTGGACTCGCTGTGGGAAGCGCACAAAGGGGCAGAGGATGCTGAATGCTCCGAGGTCAGACCCAGAAAGGTGAAAGCTGTGTGAGTTGTGTGCCCTGGAGACAGGCTGCTCACAGAAAGGAGACAACTGGTGGGAGCGGTGGGATGTACTGCACCCCGTGGGTGGGTGGCGCTTCCTGCAGTAAGTGACTGGGGAGCAGTAAAACGAAGGGGGACTGACGAGGACCAGGCGTGCTGAAGGCTCAGAGAGGAGTGATTTCGGGGGGCAGTTAACCCCTGGGAGTATGTGACCAGCGAGAAGGACTGTGCAGTAATGGGGTCCCCCTGGGGACTGTGGTGAGCAGTTTCAGGGGCAGAGGAGCCTGCGGCTTGGCCCTGGGAGAGAGAAGGACTTTTGCAGTAACAGGGTCCCCCGGGGGATTGCAGCGAGCAGTCCCAGGGGGGAGGAGTCTGCAGCTCGACCCTGGCAAAGAGGCGGTGACCTCGAGAAGGGCTGGCACACTAGGGGTTCTCCCTGGAAACCGTGGGGAGCTGAGAGCACACAGGCCTGTGAGTCCACAACAACTTGGGAGGAGCGGAGTGATGGCCTGTGTCACGGAGTCCCCGGGCGATGCTCTGGAACTGCTCCCCATGAAGCCAGTCAGGACTCTGGGGCAGTCGCCTTTCTGTGAGCAGCCTGTCTTCAGGACACACAGCTCACCCAGCTTCCACCTTCCTGGGTCTGACCTCAGAGCATTCAGCATCCTCTGCCCCTCCGTGCGCTTCCCCCAGCGAGTCCGCCCAGGCGGGGTCCTGGGGAAGCCAGAGGGTCCTGCACCCCAACTTCGCAGTCAGACGTGACTCTCAGCCAGCCAGTAAAACAGAAGGTTTATTAAACGACAGGAACATGGCCTAAAACAGAGCTTGTAAGTGCAGAGAATGGGACCCTTCAGCTGGGTCCATTTTGGGGGGCAGTGAGCCAGACAACCATGTCTGCACTTCACTCCATGTCCCAGCCAGCCCCAAACTGAAAACCCCTCCAGCCCCTCCTCCTCTGGGCTTTGTTCCTTTCCGGGCCAGGAGGTCACCTGATTCCTTTGTTCTCCAACCCTTCAGCTCTCACCTTGCAGGGGGGGGAAGGGCCCAGGCCATTAGTTGCCAGGAAACAGGGTGTCGGCCATTCTCTGTGTCCAGACTCCTGCATACACCTGCCCTCTAGGGCTCTGCAATGATCATACACCCTTACCCCACCCCCTAGATACTTAAGAACTGCCTAGGGGAAACTGAGGCACCGCCACACTATTCAGAGGAAACATTAAGAACAGTCCCACTTCGTCACATCTCTCCCCCCTTCGAGATCGAACTGAGCGGGGTCACTTTAGCCGGTGACCTGGGGAAGTTCGAAGCCACCAACGTTCCCATGGATGCCCCAGCATCTCTCCCATTCCTTGGTAGGAGTTACACCAGGCCCTTCCAGTTTCACGCCCTCCCTTAGGTCAGGGTGGTCGATAGCACTCGCAGGCCGCATGTGGGAAGGTTTATGCAGCCCATGCCCTTTGGCCACCCCAAGAATGTCTCCCCATTGACCATCACCTTCTGCTCCCACTGGAGGTCCGGGGGGCCTGGCCCCAGGAAACTCCACACAGACATATAGGTTGGGGTCAGGAGTGGGAGCCTGTCCACATCCCCAACCACCTGGCTGACGGAGTCTGTGGCCTTGGGACCCAGCAAGGGAGCTAGACACCGGGGCTTTTCCGCAGGGCCCCCTTGGTTCAAATCGCCAGCCTGCTCAAAGGCAGTGAGGTGGGCATCCACACCCCCCCCCTCCTTAACCAGGGGCAGCAATTTACTCTCGAGGTTCCCTGCGGAACTGGCCCCCCGGGATCTATCCCCACTCACCCCGGGGAGGTCCCCTAGGCCTCTCCACCCCACCACCGCCAGTTCATGCTGCTGCTGCTTCTGCAGGTCTTTCTCAGGCTCTCGCTGTCTCTCACAGTCCTCTTGCTCTCTCGGACTCAGCTCCACTCCCGTCCGTCTTGATCCCCCGATGGGGAACCCGATCGTGAAGACCCCCGTCTGGTCGGGGACAGGAGTCTTGGCGATGCCTGGCTCCCGCTTCAGCTGCTCCCAGATCCTGCTATAGCCCCAGTTGGGGTCAGGAATCTGTTCCTTAGAGCGGTCATCCTCCTCCAGCTGCACGATTAACTCTGCTTTGGTGAACTTTCCAATGCTCAACCCTCTCTTTTTGCACAGGCTTACAATGTCCTTCTTAAGGAGACGGTGACAGGCCATCACTCCGCTCCTCCCAAGTTGTTGTGGACTCACAGGCCTGTGTGCTCTCAGCTCCCCACGGTTTCCAGGGAGAACCCTGTCACGGAGTTCCTGGGCGATGCTCTGGAACTGCTCCCCATGAAGTCAGTCAGGACTCTGGGGTAGTCGCCTTTCTGTGAGCAGCCTGTCTTCAGGACACACAGCTCACACAGCTTCCACCTTCCTGGGTCTGACCTCGGAGCATTCAGCATCCTCTGCCTCTCCGTGCGCTTCCCACAGCGAGTCCGCTCAGGCGGTGCTCCTGGGAAGCCAGAGGGTCCTGCACCCCAACTTCGCAGTCAGACGTGACTCTCAGCCAGCCAGTAAAACAGAAGGTTTATTAGACGACAGGAACATGGTCTAAAACAGAGCTTGCAGGTGCAGAGAACGGGACCCCTCAGCTGGGTCCATTTTGGGGGGCAGTGAGCCAGACAACCACGTCTGCACTTCACTCCATGTCCCAGCCAGCCCCAAACTGAAAAACCCCTCCAGCCCCTCCTCCTCTGGGCTTTGTTCCTTTCCCCGGCCAGGAGGTCACCTGATTCCTTTGTTCTCCAACCCTTCAGCTCTCACCTAGCAGGGGGGGGAAGGGCCCAGGCCATCAGTTGCCAGGAAACAGGGTGTCGGCCATTCTCTGTGTCCAGACTCCTGCACACACATGCCCTCTAGGGCACTGCAATGATCATACACCCTTACCCCACCACCTAGATACTTAAGAACTGCCTAGGGGAAACTGAGGCACCCCCACACTATTCAGAGGAAACATTAAGAACAGTCCCACTTCGTCACATCTCTCCCCCCTTCGAGATCGAACTGAGCGGGGTCACTTTAGCCGGTGACCTGGGGAAGTTCGAAGCCACCAACGTTCCCATGGATGCCCCAGCATCTCTCCCATTCCTTGGTAGGAGTTACACCAGGCCCTTCCAGTTTCACGCCCTCCCTTAGATCAGGGGTGGTCGATAGCACTCGCAGGCCGCATGTGGGAAGGTTTATGCAGCCCATGCCCTTTGGCCACCCCAAGAATGTCTCCCCATTGACCATCACCTTCTACTCCCACTGGAGGTCCGGGGGGCCTGGCCCCCAGGAAACTCCACACAGACATATAGGTTGGGGTCAGGAGTGGGAGCCTGTCCACATCCCCAACCACCTGGCTGACGGAGTCTATGGCCTTGGGACCCAGCAAGGGAGCTAGACACCGGGGCTTTTCCGCAGGGTCCCCTTGGTTCAAATCGCCAGCCTGCTCAAAGGCAGTGAGGTGGGCATCCACACCCCCCCCCTCCTTAACCAGGGGCAGCAATTTAGTCTCGAGGTTCCCTGCGGAACTGGCCCCCCGGGATCTATCCCCACTCACCCCGGGGAGGTCCCCTAGGCCTCTCCGCCCCACCACCGCCAGTTCATGCTGCTGCTGCTTCTGCAGCTCTTTCTCGGGCTCTCGCTGTCTCCCACGGTCCTCTTGCTCTCTCAGACTCAGCTGCAATCCCGTCCGTCTTGATCCCCCGATGGGGAACCCGATCATGAAGACCCTCGTCTGGTCGGGGACAGGAGTCTTGGCGATGCCTGGCTCCCGCTTCAGCTGCTCCCAGATCCTGCTATAGCCCCAGTTGGGGTCAGGAATCTGTTCCTTAGAGCGGTCATCCTCCTCCAGCTGCACGATTAACTCTGCTTTGGTGAACTTTCCAATGCTCAACCCTCTCTTTCTGCACAGGGTTACAATGTCCTTCTTAAGGAGACGGTGACAGGCCATCACTCCGCTCCTCCCAAGTTGTTGTGGACTCACAGGCCCGTGTGTTCTCAGCTCCCCACGGTTTCCAGGGAGAACCCCTAGTGTGCCAGCCCTTCTCAAGGTCACCACCTCTTTGCCAGGGTCGAGCTGCAGACTCCTCCGCCCCTGAGACTGCTCACTGCAGTCCCCAGGGGGACCCCATTACTGCACAGTACTTCTCGCTGGTCACACACTCCCAGGGGTTAACCGCCCCCGAAACCGCTCCTCTCTGAGCCTTCAGCAGGCCTGGTCCTCGGCAATCCCCCTTCGTGTTACTGCTCCCCAGTCACTTACTGCAGGAAGCGCCATCCACGGGGTGCAGTAGATCCCACCGCTGCCACCAGTTGTCACGGAGTTCCTGGGCGATGCTGTGGAACTGCTCCCCATGAAGTCAGTCAGGACTCTGGGGTAGTCGCCTTTCTGTGAGCAGCCTGTCTTCAGGACACACAGCTCACACAGCTTCCACCTTCCTGGGTCTGACCTCGGAGCATTCAGCATCCTCTGCCTCTCCGTGCGCTTCCCACAGCGAGTCCGCTCAGGCGGTGCTCCTGGGGAAGCCAGAGGGTCCTGCACCCCAACTTCGCAGTCAGACGTGACTCTCAGCCAGCCAGTAAAACAGAAGGTTTATTAGACGACAGGAACATGGTCTAAAACAGAGCTTGCAGGTGCAGAGAACGGGACCCCTCAGCTGGGTCCATTTTGGGGGGCAGTGAGCCAGACAACCACGTCTGCACTTCACTCCATGTCCCAGCCAGCCCCAAACTGAAAAAACCCCTCCAGCCCCTCCTCCTCTGGGCTTTGTTCCTTTCCCGGGCCAGGAGGTCACCTGATTCCTTTGTTCTCCAACCCTTCAGCTCTCACCTAGCAGGGGGGGAAGGGC